CCTTGGATCTTGGTGGCTACAGTGATATTTCGTCTGTCCTGAATACCTTAGATAAAGATGTACAGACACAAGTTGTATCAATTATTTTTCTCATGGCTATGACCAAATTCCAAATTCCTGACAAGAACCATCTTAAGGGAGGAAGGGCTTACTTGGGGACTCAGTCCATCATGGTGGGGAAAGCATGGTAGCAGGATGATCACACTGCTCTCTGCAGGCAGGAAGAGGAAGGCAGACAGGAAGCAGGCCTGCCTATAACACCTGCAGTTCTGTCTGGAGAGAGCCACTTCCCCCAGTGAAGCTCCACCTCCTTCCCCAGCAGCACCACTTGCTAGGGACCAAATGTGGGAATGCAGGAGCCTGCAGGCACAGTGCACATTCAAACCCTAGCATGTATCTGTCAGCAAATGGAGCATCCACCTCATAATGGCTTTAGGAAGCATGGATGATTCTCGTGTTTGAAGTCCAGAGGCAGATGCAGGAGAGATGGCTCAGTGGTTAAGAGTGGCTGATGCTCTTGCAGAAGACCTGCGTTCAGTTCCCAGAATCCACATGGTGGCTCATAGTTCCAGGGGTCCAACGCCCTCTTTTGGCCTCCATGGGTATTGCATGCACATGGCGCACATGCAGGCAAAACACTAATACACATAAAATTTTAAAAAACACTGAAAAAAGTCTAGAGGGCAGCCAGTCAAATGCAGTCTCAGTGGTGCCATGGAAACCCCAGATGCCACCTTCCCTCTCCTTCCTCCTTAGGCTGCTAGTTGTCTGTGTATTTTGGCCTCAGGGTTGCAAAGCTGTTGGTGTCCCCGTGGTCAAGCTGCATTTTCCCGTGTGTGAGCCACTTTATCTGAGCAGCAAAACCCTTCCCGGAGCTTGCTGCTCTGTTTTTGTCTCTGGTTAGAGCTGCAACCCAGCTAGAGAGAAGCTAAGAGATTGCGGAACCGGCTTTCCAGTGTTCACAATCCAGGAAGGCTCGAGTGGGTGATGTGGGTTGAGTTGAGTGTTATGCTGGAGACCTGGAGGACCTTCCACAGAAGGCACTGTCCTTCCCCTATCAGGAGACAAAGGAACCTGTTGCCAAGTGCCAGAGGCCGATCCAGGTTGAGTCACTCTGACTCCAGAGTCAACGCAGGCGTCACCACCTCAAACGGTCCCCTTCTTCAATCCTCAAAGTTCCATTCAGTTCAATCTGTATTCAGTGAGCATCTGCTGTACCACACTGAGGGCACAGAGAGAGCTGCAGATGAATTGTCCCTACCCTTGAGCAATGAACCACTGTGCTGGAGAGAGCATGCCGCACACAGACCTCCGATGTCAGGTGGAGCAAGTCCCTGGGGAACCAAATTAAATGATGGGTATCTGCGGTGGGTTGGAGGTGGTGGGGGTCAGGAGAAATAGAGAGGAAGTCTCTGTGGAAGGAGGTTTATCTGGGCCACCTTCATGGAGATGTTTCTTTAAAAAGTGTTGAGGTGTTTTGTTTTTGTTTGCTTTACCTATTGCATTCTGGGTCATCTCAAGCATCGTTTATGTCCGCAGTCCATGCTGAGGTGTGTAGTTTTTTCAAAGTAAGCCAACTAACCATATTTTGCTGATTTAATGTCCCCACAAAAGCCATAATCTTGCCTTTAAACCAAACTATATCTACTTTTAAAATTCATGAAGCAAAGCATTCCTACAGGGCAATGAACACAAGGCAATTTAAAATCAGCACAAACCATTATATGTTTCCTTAAACAAGTTAAAGTATCCGGTGGAATTCGGCAAAATTTGTGTATTCTAGCTGCATACAAGTAAAAAGAACAGAGCAAAAGATAACGTGCTTCGGGGGAAGAGAACCAGTTACAGTGACGTTGGATGGAAGTGGAGGCAGAACCTTTTTAATTACAGATTTTAGCAAAAGAAAAGTCCACGAGTAAAATGGGGACGGGCAGAATGTTTACAGAAGAGGAAGAACAAACGGCTAAAGGCATAGAAAGAACAGAAATGTCGGGGGACAGAAAACAATGTTCCTGTCTGTTTAATTAACAGAGAGTTGATTATTAGTACAGCCATTTATTGTGGGTGTGTGCGCATGTGCCGTGGTGCAGACGTGGTCAAAGGACAATGTTCAGGTGATGAACGTTTCTTCTCCTGCCGTGTATGTTCCAGGGGTGGAACTCACACTGTCAGGCTTGCCAGCAAGTACCTTTACCCACTGAACCATTTCTCTCTGGCCCCAACAAAGATTTTTTTTTTCAAAGAAAAAATTCACTGGCAAAAATGTGGTGAGATGCATTTCATACCCTGCTGTAGGGCTGGAAAATAATATAATTGTTCTTCTGGGAAGCAATTTAGGAGAATGTTCCAAGAAACAGAGAACCTGGCATGGTGGTATGTGCCTGTAATCCTAGTACTGAGAGGCAGAGGTAGGAGGGTCCGGAGCTCAAGGCTATCCTCGACTACAAGAGACCTTGCCACAGCAAACCCAAATAGACAGACAGACAGACAGGACTCCTAGAGGTTGTCCATACTCAGGTGGACAGTTTCACCCCTGTGTGCATACAGCTAGCAGCTAAGTCATTGGACTTAATGGGTTATAGAAAAATAAGTGAAGACATAAAGGCTTTTATACCCAGTAATTCCATCTCTAGAAGCATCCTAAGGAAATAATTTGAAATGTGGGCACAGATACACGTGTCCAGATAGTTATTAGAACTGTAATAATAAAACTATAGAAATGTAGGTCTGAAATACAAAGGCATCAGACCCACTCTGGCGCATCTGTCTTGCAGTGTTGTGGTTTATAGCAGACATTTGAAACCCTAATGATGTGGAGAAATACGTCGTAGGCAGGCAGGTAGCACAGCTACCAAGCTAAAAAGGATTTCACAGGAAAATTTTGGAAGGAAATGTCAAAATGCTCAGTGTTTGTGTTGGGTTGCAGTACTTGGGAATCTTTTTTTTTTCATTTTTTTATACTTTCTAGTTTTCTGTGATGATGTTTGATGCTTGGGCTAAAAAAAGAAGAAAAAACATGGAATGATCATAAACACAACCCTAAATCTGCCAGGTAACAAACAGTGCATGTCCTTAGTTTCATCAGCCTTGACACAGAACCTTGTGGATGGAAGGTGAATCTACAGTTCACGGTGCATGTTAAGAAGAACATGGTGCCCAAGGAGCAGCCATTTGGGAGGCTGAGGCAGGAGAGTCTCTTGAGCCCAAACATTTCAGCCGGCATTGCCTGCATAGTGACACTCCATCTTTAAATACACACACACACACACACACACACACACGCACGCACGCACGCACGCACGCGCACACAGGCATTGTCTCAGGGGAGGTGAGACCACTT